TGTAGAAGACCGTACTGAAATGTTCAATAGCCATTGTCTATGATGTCAGCATTTGGTTTACTTTGTGGGGTGACCTGTAGGTTCTGTTCCTTTTTATTTGTGTTTGCTTTTGGTGGCTGTGAACACAAGCTCATTTGGAATTGGCCTATTCCTTGTCTGTGTATGATGTTCCTCTACTGGACAATGACAAGCTATGGTTCTCCCGTGGGCTTTGGAGACAGATGAGCAATGACCTAGAGATGGCATCTAGATAGGGTGTAAGCTGTGTGGTGTCTTGGTTAAACAGCGATGAAAGTGAGGAAGTGATACATCATATGAACATGTATCATATGTTGAGCTATAATGTGCAAAATTTAATTATATGCTGAATGTTACCATGCTGTTTCATTGCTGTTTTGATTTTACTGAAGACTTGGGTCATGTTAATTTGTGGGTGTTAGAATGGGGTCACATTGGAAAATAGTTTGGGAAGCATTGATGTAGAAGATCAAAGGTAGCAGGTAAATGGGAACATTGCCAGTTCCCTCCAAATTACATATTACACTGTTGTTGATTCAAAATCTAACAGCACTAAGGCTGTACCTACACCAGATGGACTGCTGTGTTCAAGGCAACAGCATACCACATCCTGCTCAAGGATAATTATAGATTAGCAAGGTCAGCCATGGTTGCCAATGATGTATTTCATGAATAAATGATTTGAATGTGCACCTTGTGAATAGTGAAAGGATTTTGGGGAATCAGGAGGTGAATCATTCACCATGGAATACCGAAGTTCTGACCTGCCCTTATAGCCACAATATTTTTCCATCATATCCATGTGGCTTGTCCAATTATGTTTTGGCTCAATTTGTTGCCAGATTCGATGATGGTAATGCCATTGAATTGCATCTCTTTGTTGCAGATAGTCACTGATAGCCAATTCTGAGGTGGGAACATTATGTTTAATTTATAAGCCCAAGCCTGAATGCTAATTATCTTGCTGTACAGCGACAGTCACTTTATAAGCTGAGAAGTTGCAAATCAGTTTAAATATGCAATATATTATTATGAAGTACTTTACTAGAAACTACAAACATTATCAAATTGAATAATTGGAAGAAGTAATCTTGTGACAGAACATAACTGTTAAACTGAAACTGACTATAAATTTTGGGCTGCATGTATTGACAAATGTGATCTGACTCAGTACTGGACTAATGCAGTAGTGTCATTTTTCACTCAATAGATAGTAGTGATGGAAGACTCTCTTAAATGTAGCTGAAAAAGAGAGATGCTGTCAAAGCTCTTCATCATGCATTGAGCAGGACAGACATTAGAATGCCAAAATTTAATGGGAACAACAATTTATGCTGCATGAGAAAAGACTGCTGAATGATTGACAAGTTGACTTGCCATGAAAAATGCACCTAGGAACTGTTGTTCCCCGTGCTTTTGTTTAACTCAAGAAATGACACACTGCCTGCCTGTAGCTTTTTTTTTGTGGGGAACAGACTTGTGTGTCTAAATGTATGCAACTTTTAACAAATGTAAGTGATTCATTTGAACCTCATTGATGAATTTAAATTCATTATTAGGATAGTTCTTAGCATACATATGATTGTTCAACAGATGCTGAACAATGGTGGAAACATATCTAACATCCAACATTTATGTTTTGAATTTTGCATTGTTTTGTTAGTAGTCTACCTAGTGTGAACAGCCAAAGGGACATGCTATTTGAAATGACCTACCAGTCATTGATTTTGGGGAATCAATGACAAGCTGACAGACCTGGTACTCTGCTCAAAATACATGGGGGTAGCTGGTGAATTAGCACGAGAAAGTCTCCAAAGTGTCCAAGAAAATTCAATTCTGGGAATCACCAATCACAGAAAAAACACCCATGTAAATAGAATGGGCAAAGTCTGTGGGAATCTGCTCTCCCAATCACAGGTTGGTTCTCTTTTTCATGTTTGTTTCTTCCTGCTCACTTCCCTTAGGGAAGTCCACCATCTACAAGGCATAAGTCAGGAGTGTGATGGAATACTCCCCGACTGCCTGGGATGAGTGCAGCTTCAACAACACTCAAGAAGCTCAACACCATCCAGGACAAAGCAGCTGCTTGATTGGCACCACATCTGCCACCTTCAAGTTTTACTCCTGTCATGACAAAGGCACAATAGCAGCAGTGTGCAGCATCTACACATGTATTGTAGCACCTCACCAAGTCTGTGATAGCAACTTTCAAAACCAGATGTAGCAGATACATGAGAACCCCACCACCTGCAAGTTCCCCTCCAATTCACTCACCACACTGACTCAAAATATATCATTGTTTCATCAAAATCTTAGAGCTTCGAGTCAGAGTATTATAGCATAGAAAGAGCCTTTTTGGCTTATCATATCCATGTCAACTGAAATCCAATTTCCAAGACAACAAGGTGCAGGGCTGGATGAACACAGCAGGCCAAGCAGCAT